AGAGGGGACACACATGAAGACGGAGAAGGAGGCTACTGTTATCAAGGCTGAAAGAAGCAGCAGAGGTGTCTTTTAAAACTCAGACATTCTGATGTACATCTGCCCTCACCATAGCTAGAGAGTATTTAGATAAAAGAAATTTGTTTATATGGTGCTGGGGAACAAACCTAGGGCCTCATGTATGGTAATACACGCTCTACCACTGAGCTACATCTCAACCCTGATAATATAATTTAAGACAAAATAAAACTAGATGAACTAAAAATGTTTAATTAAAACATCTCAAAATCTTGAGACTGTTCCTATGTCTAGAAACTATATTAGAAGAAATGTGAGGTTTGTTACTTGGATACTCTCCTCATAATTAAAGTGTATCACTGCTAATATGAAATTTTTCTAAACAAGTCTAGTTAGGAATAATTTCCCTTTATTTTTCAAATATGAAGTACAATACAAGAATTCAACTGAACATTCTGAGTAAAATCAATCATCAGCATAAGCATTTTTCAGGCAGCATAAGATTTTTCAGGCTGTGGGAAACTCAGGCTCAAATCTTGTGCATTAACCATAGCAAACTACAGCAATAATAGTAAAAGCTAAAAAGGTAAGCCTTGTTTGATTGAAACACTGAACTGTAGAGAAACCTCAAGAAAACAATGAACTGGAGCCATCTTTTTGTATAAGAATGGCAGCTGTGAGCAACAGTTTGCTGAAACATTGACTTTCCTAGATAATATCCCTGACATCATTAACAAGGATCATGAACTAAGTCAAAATATATCCAAAATCAGTTGTTTGAAAGTATTATATTTTAATAAGAGATATGAGAGGAGCTGTCAGTATGCATCAGGTAACCAATAGTTCCCACATGTCCGAGTTAGTGATGCTAAAGTTGTGGCAATAATGAGCAGTTACTTAATCCTACTGCAAATCACATTAGTACCATCTCACTCTTTTTTGTCCTTCTTCCTTTATTTTAATTTCCAGCCCTAATGACCTAATTCATTCAGGTCCCTCTATGCTACAGTAGCATTTTGTTTTTCTATATTCAAGCAAGTAAAATTATACATCAAACAAAACATATCAGCATGAGATTTTTTTGTTAATAGTATCTGTAGACTAACACAAATAATTAGGACATACTATGTTGTTGGAATTCTAAAGCAATATCTCCCTTTAATGTGCACCTCATACTGTAGGGCACAGACCCCAGGACACCAGCTAGTGGTAATGATATTTCACTTTGCAAGTATAAGCTTAGTCCTTATCTTCTGCATGTAGTAATACAGTACTCTCATTTTAACTTTCTGTAAATTAAATACCAATTGCTCTTATCACCTTCTTTTTATTACTAATAAATGCTTACATAAACCTTCTTGACACAATTACATAAAGTCTAGTTATTACAGTAAGTTCAGTTAAAGCCCCTGGAGCTCCTTGGACTCTTTGTGTCATGCATGTGAAAAGACATTTTATTTGTGTTCACGTTTTCAGTTAAGGACAGGAAGCTTGCTCTTCCCAAATGTCTTGAGTGCAACGTAAATGTGACGTGCAATTTCTAAGTCCTCAGTCTGGTACTCTCTGTTCCTCGTTTTTCATAGTGCATTCATCCCAGTCATTATTTTTCTGCAATTAGAACCAAAATTGTTGACAGTGTGAAAATGGCCTTGTGAACTTCTCCAGTGTAAGCATAGAAACACTTTTTATGAAATGGCCAATAAAGAATGATAGGCATTTCAGTAACAGAATGAAAAAGGAACCATAACTTAATAATGTTAGCTCTTACTAAGATTCTTTGGGATGCAAATGGTCCCAGGTATTTAATATTTTAATACTTAATATTACCTTGGGGAAGAATTGATCCCATTAAAAAGATAACCTATTCTACTATTATGACAATATAATGTATTCTGTTTTAGAACTTCTGCCATAAAGAACTATAGTAGGGGAAATAATCTAAAAAATTGTTTTTATATATAAGACAACAGGTTTTTCAAGAACTATGGGAAATAAACACGTGATTCCTATGATCATCCCAACTTGTGCCTACAGGTACTATATAATCATGGAAGTCTCAGTAGCTTGTAATTAAATTAAATTAAGTTAAATCAAATCAAATTAAATTAGATTCAACTAAATTCCTGCCTCCAAACTTAATCTTCTACAAAGAAAACAGTGTAACCCAAGAACTGAATATCTTAAGATTCACTATGTTCTATGCTCAATTTTTAAAAAATATCTAGAGATTGGGGATGTAGCTCAGCTGTAGAGCACTTGCCTAGCATATGTGAGGCACTGGGCTCACTCCTCAGTAAGAACAAGCAAAACAAAACAAAACAAAATGAATGACCTGGACATAAGGTGTAAAATGTGACCAATAAGTACAAGCAAATAGGGATACACAGAACTAAGAAAGGTGATACAAGTTGCCGTCAAGGACTTTAAAACAGTTATTATATACATGCTTGAGGAGCTAAATAAAAGCATAAACACAATGGAAAGAAAAATAGAAGCTGTAAGAAGGAAATAAAAGAGACCAAAAATATAATAATTGAATTTTTAAAAATTTTAATTTTTAAAACAGCAGATTAGATCATTAAGACAAAGAATTACTGGAAGACATAACAATAAAAAGTATCCAAGCTGAAACAAACAAAACCAAAAGAAAAAAATGTTAAAAATTTTGATAATAAAAGTGAGTAGAGCCTCCTTGGTCTGTGGGAAATAAGAGCGCAATACACGTGTGACTTGAGGCCTGGAGGGGAAAGAAGGATAGAAGAAGACAAAATATTTGAAGGAATATTAGCTGAAAATGTTCCAAATTTCATGTCAACCTGAACCACAGAACGAAGAAGCTCAACAAACTTCAAGCAATATAAACAGAAAAATTGTTGCACTAAGTCTAATTGTAGCAAGACTCCTGAGAGCACTGACAGAGACCAAATTGATAAAGAAATGGGGTACTATACAGAGTGAAATTACAAATGAAAATTACCTACAACTTATCAGACAAAAATGCAAGTCATGAGAAACTAGAATAGCTCATTTGCAATTCTCCATTTAGAAATAAAGCTATTTGCCTAGAATTTTATAACTAAAAAGCATCCCTTAAAACTAAAAGTGTTTCTGAGCTGATGGGTAGTTAATATGTTCACTAGGATAACAAGTTAATAATATGCACACATATATGTGCCTGTGTGTGTATCATATTATTTTACATTAAGTATATGAATTAAAATGTATTAAGATGAAATGTCTTTAAAACAATAATAAATAAAAGTTAAAGACATTTTCAAAGCTGAGAGAATTAATTTTGAGCAGACTTGTACTTCAGGGAAAATTAAAAGTGCATAGTTCTTCTTATATGAGAAACCTCAACTATAAATAATGTAAAGAGCAAAATAAAAGATAGATGATAGGAGACAGGGAACTAGACATTATGGAAGTAGATCTGGGGGTGGAGGAAATAGGAGGGAGGGAGAGAATAGAAAGTAAAAGGATCCAAATGTGCTATGTATAAACACCTATGCCCATGATGAATGTGTTTATTATGTACCACAGACACACACTAATGAAAAAGAAGAAACACAGCAACTTAAAATACCAATGACAATTCATTACACCAAAGGAAATTAATAGCAACTAGAATTCATATCTCCACTACGAAAGCACAAAAAATTGGTAAATATTATCCTTCAGTGTAATTAGAGAGCCCAAGGAAACTAAGATAAAAGGCAAAGGAAACTAGAAGAGAATTAAAGAAAATGTTGTAAGACTACACAGGAACTGAAAACTCACACGCAGAGTTAAAATGAGATCTGAGTAAGCTAGACTGTGTTATAACTGGAGTAAAAGTCATCTGGAAAAAAGTAATGGCTAATTGCACGAGTCTGGTCAACATTATAACCAACTTACATGTATGTAAACCCCTATGTCTCTAAATGAGTTCTTAAAGCCTTAACCCACTCAGTGTAGTAAAATACAATTTACAAACACATTAACTAGCAAACAAGTTTTGGTACCTTCCATGACTTTTGATGAGACAGGCATCTATGGGTGGTTAAGTACTTGCTGTAGAGTGACTTAATATAACTATACTTATATGGCTACGCAATTAGCTATTTCAGCATCTCTATGTATTTTATCTTAGGGAGAATGGACTCCAGTGAGACATATTTTTCTTAGTTTTTCCACATAAAAGCAATACTTGAAGAAATCCATGCAATCAAGTCACTGTTCAAGAGACATAATTAATTAGTTATCCATAAAATTCATCCTAGAGGGAAAATTACTTGAGAATATTCTGTCAAGGGAAACTGAAATGGGAAAATAGAAGACAGTAAATGGTGCTGCTTTTTTCCCATCTGTTCTACTTAATGAGTGTTTCCATTTTCTTTCTGTGGATTCTAGAATTGCATATTCAACATATACAGTGCCAATGGATTATACAGAGCTAGAATGAATTTAAATACAGACTGTTTTCCAATGTCCAAACCCAATGTTCTTATCCCATATTTTCTTATAGGGAAATTTGAATTTTAAAATTGGGAGATTCATCCAGTTAGGCTGATTAATTTACAATTATGAAAGGAAGCTTCCCCCCAGAATGTCATATATACAAGATCTTCCATAAACATTCTACATAAAACAGCTGAGAATAAGTAGCTCAAGTAACAGATTCATGACTTTCTCTTTTCAGTCAGACACCCCTTTAAAAAAAGAAGTGTCTAGTTCATGGAATTGTAAAAAGTTTCTTTCTCAAGTGCAATGCAAGCTTTTAATAACGTTCAGTATTCTTCAGCTGTTCTCTCTGGAAAAAAATGAAAATTTTTGTTATAAAAGGGAAAACATGTCTCTCTTTTTTAGAAGATCTGACCAAATTGTCACACCTTCATAAAACATGAATCCTCCTCCAATGACATAGCCTATTCCCTAGTTCCACACCCCCTTTGTGCTAATTAAGCCATTGTCTCCAGGTTTTAAAGCTCTCCCCTACTTGCCTCCTCTGGTTGTATCCGGTTTGTAGGAGCAGCTTTCCTATTAGATTCTCCCTGTAGGAGTTGCTAGAGGGAAGTTCAGTGCTGGGGAGGAAAAGGTACTCTCTTACTGATATAGGAAAATAAACACTCCCAACCTGAATGATATCTAGGACAAGTTTGTGTTCTCTAAAATTGAAGAATGAATTTTAGGAGCAACAGAGGTTAACAGTAGAATATATTTATTGAGGGAAAGAAAGTTTCTGTCCAAGAGAGGGACAGAAGGGGGCCCAAGTGGGTTGCCAAGGACCTTGCCCTTCCCCGGGACTTTATAGAGCAAAGCCCCGAGGTGAAGCAGGTCCAAGATAGGGGGGAAATGGGAAATTACAAGGTGGGCTTGAGGTGGGACAAAACTGTGGTCAGCCAATAAGATTACAAGTATAATTGTTCAGGTAAAATTGAGTAAACGGGGATCAAATGGGGAAGCGAGTCATGCAGCAAGAGGGCATGAATACAGAACAGGGGCTTTTCCTGTAGGGGGTTGGGCTAGTGGCCCTTTCTGGCTTTTTGAAGGTGGTTGTTACTTATTTAGAATATCAATCCCTGATGTTCACACCTAGGGAGGTATGTGGGTGCATTTGTTTAGTCCTTTTGTCTTGAGGTCTGGCCCACAGGTATCTTATCTTGTCTTTCGTGTTGGCTCCTTTGAGGGCCTGGCCCTCTCTGATCGCCCATAATATTTCTATCTCACTCAGCTGCCTATAACATTACTTATCACCTTTTTGATTCTTGTTCTTGTCAATACCACCCAATCCTTACTTCCTTGGACAGTAGCAGTCTATTCCTGCTGGCCATTTTCCCTGGCACCGAGAGCCCCAGGCTTATTACATTGTCTTCAGGGACCTTTGCAGCCTGAATTTCCTCCCAAGACATCCGAGCCCCAGCGCCCCAGGAACTCCCTCTCCATGCTTTCAAATTTTAGTAATTCCAATCCCCTCTTTTCCTTTTCCTATGTCTCAGGGTTTGCTCCTCTTTTCTCCACTGTTACCTTCATGAATTTTCATCATTCTTTAAAAATTTTTTTCCAATTTCTATAATAATTTATTTCAAAGAATTTTAATATTTTGAAGAACTATTTTCTACTGTTGGAAGACGTGGTTGTCCTCTTTTTATTTTATTTTATTTTTTTTTTTCCCCTGGTACCAGGAATCAAACTCACGACTTCCTGCTTGCCAGGCAGGTGCTTTGCCACTGAGCTAAATCCCCAGCCTTTAATTTTTCTTGACTAAACCCCATTTCATACGTTTTCTGTCACAGCCATTTCATTCTGAGAAAGGGTAAGGTGGACTGTGTCCTAGAACCACGGCTTCTTCAATAAGGCACAGGTGAAACCACACTCAAAGCACCTGTATTTTCTGTCTCTAGGGCCTGATGTTGTCATGCTCATGGTTGTGAACAGAAATCACATGTCTGCAAATGAGAGTGGGAGGAAGATGCTCTGTAAGGATGAAAAGGAGCAGGTCACGCTTGCTCCTCTGAGAACCTCCCTTTCCATCCCAGCTCAGTGCTTGGTCACCAGGGACATACTGGCCCTCTGGCTGTTGTTTTACCTTCTACCTATGCCACTGAAGTCATAGGCAAGCCCGGTACACTAACATTATCAACCCACAGAAAACAATTTGCTCATTTTAAAATTGAGTCATCTCAGTCCACTAGAAAGTGAAAAACATGTCCAAAGACACACAGCTAGTGAATAACACTGCCAGGAGTCTCTCTGTCTCTCATAGTCTATTTCCACTATTTTTTTCATGTGCAAGTATAAATATATCTGATTATAAATATTTTTGCATAAATTTAAGTGAAATCTGATCCAAGGTAAAATTGACTGCTTCAATTTAACAGCACTAAAAGTTATTATGATTAACTTGAGTGTAGACAGATAGAAATCAACAACCCAGGTATGACTGCAGGGCCTGCCCTTTCCAAACTTAAGGTGAAATTCAATTTTCCACTGTAGCAGTACTAAAAACTGAGACATTAAGAAGTGAGAGGTTATAAGGGCTCTAAGTTCCCCCTTTCTTGTTCTTCACTTTTGTCCTCATGTCTTCTGTTTTGTAATGTCATGGCAAGAAGGCCTTTGTCAGATGCTGAGAACTTAATAATGGACATGCCACCCTCCCAAAATGTGAGCCTGTTATTAAGTCATTATAACTTGCATAGTCACAGATGCTCAGTCCAAAAGGATTGAGATATCCCCTTAACTTCTACATGGAAATCTTTCAGGAGGATGTGGCAGGTTTACTCCATGAGGATCTTACAAACACTGGCTTTTTGTATCTTGTACTCTCAGAGTCATTATATGGCTTTAGATATCTTCTCCTGTGATAATATTACCAAATATTATCACTCACAGGAAGTGGAAATAGGATAAAGGCCTCTTTCTTTAGAGGCATTCCCTGGACATGACATTTTCCACCCATGTGAGGAACTTTTTCAGAGAGCAATAAAATATCAAGACAGAGGTTTTACAATGTAATCTTTATTCTGGGCCTCCATATGTTAGATAAATATTGATATTCAGTGACCAGTGGAGGAGTAGCTTATTGTTTTCAAAGCACTGGGAGAACATCAATTCCAAAGCACTTATTTCAGATATTCATAAGACTCCTTGTTAGTCTTTTCTTTTAGATATATGGTGAGGAATACAAATGGCATTTTCCAGTTCACTGGATAATAGATTTCACATAAATTCCACAATTGATTACACTCTATGTTAAGAATGATGCTACTGAAGATATTACTATGGCCAGGACAGTCATGACCATTTTCTTCAGGCAGCCTACACCCTAGCAGGGAACTATAATTGAACTTACTCTTTAAAAACTGAGTAGCACATAAATCCCCAGTAACAGAGAGCACATTTCTAGTAAGGCCCTTCTTTACTTGAAAGGAGAAAACATAGTATCCACATTTTTTCATGTAAGCAGAGAGAGAGAACTTCACAAATATCAAAAATTAAAAATCTATTTCTTTAAGAAAAATTGCTTAGTTCAAGCAAATGAGTAATGACAGAGCAAGAGTTATCTGCAAATTTTGTGGGGCAGCATAAGAACTACAAAGTTGAATAAACACTTCTTCCTTGGAAGAGTCTACACTTCAGTGAAAGATACTGAAGTAGACTGTAGATAAGCTAAGCAAAGCGTGGTCTTTAAAGAGGTATAATTAGCCATTGGGAAAGGAAAGGGAATATTTAGTTTTACTGGGGCAGGACACATTGGACTGAAATAGCGAAATGACATCTTATGTGCATAATGATTACTTATAGTGTCAACTTGACTGGATTCATAAACACCCAGCAAGTTACACCATAGCTTCAGGATATGTCTATAAGGTGTGTCCAGAGGTGACTGGCATCTAGGACAGCCAATCAAGGGGGAGACCTCCCCTGTGTTACCATCCAATAGACTCAGAGCCTGGATGGAATGAAGTGGAAGAAAGGAAAACTGGCTCATTTGAAAAGCTCCAGTCTCTTAGGGCAAGCAATCTTCTACTGTTGTCATCATCTGTGGAAATCAGACTCGAGATTACTCACCTTTCAACATCCACTCACACCAGCGACTCTCTAGGAGCTGCCAGGCCTTCAGTACCAGCCCAGTACTGCGTTCTTGATCCCTCTTGTTATGTAGCTTCCAGCTTCTCAGCCTTAGCAGTGGCAGTGTCCTCTGGCTCTGCAGTGCTCAGGGCCACTGTGGGCTCTTCTGCCCTTGACCCTGTAAGCCAAGCTAATAAATCCTTATGATTCTGCTTTTCTGGAGAACCCAAGCAGTACATGTGTGCACAGTGGGTTTAATTATACTTGAATGTGTAGTAAGTGCTGCAGAGGGATGGCATTCTGGATGATAACACAAGTGTAAAGGTAAGAAGAGGAAGACTTGGGGAGGTTTGACCTTTCAGGTTTAGTTTAATTATGGAAAGTTGTGTGATCATTAATTTCCTTATAGCCTTTTGAAAATAAACCACTATTCCCATCCTGGTATAGGTGAAGTCACATAGCCACTAATAATCAGGTATCGTCTGGTAACTTAAAAGTTAAAAAGGTTTTAAAAATCTCAATTGTGTCACATTCCTGAAGCATCCAAGTGTGTGGGTGAATTCAGAAACAGAATGGTATTACTGGATTTCATCCTTTGCTACCTCCTACTCTTTCTTTCTGATGCTGCTGATTAGGTCTTACTCTGTAGCTCATTGACCACAGAAAGAGAGAGTCTTTCCTGGCAACCAGGAGCAGAGTTTCCGTAGAGGTCTTTGGGGAGAAGATTCTAATTGATTGGAGATAAGACAACAAGTCTTTATAAATGGTTAAACTCACTGAACTGCTTACATATCATTCTTTTTGACTCCAACTGTCCTGTGATTAAAGCCAAATATTATTATTACTAGACTTATCTATGTGGGGAATAAGCCAATGAGGATCAAAGAGGTGATAGGAACAGAAATTTACCTGAAGATTTCAGACTCCAGCCATGAGCAGCATTGGTTGTTCAATGTATGTGAGGACTTGGAAAACACTAAGGAACCAGTGGGATAGATAGGAGGATAAAAAGAACATTCTAGAACATGGAACCAAAAGCACAGGGAAAGCTACGTCAACACGGATAGTTGAATGGTGCTACACAATGAGTGAAAGTAGAATGGAAGTAACACCAACAGACTTTAAATATTTATGTGAGGAAAGGAAATTTTACTGCCATAAAAGCACAGTGGCATCTTGGAAATTGCCTTTAGTGTGGCTGAAGAACAGCAGCAAGGAAAGCAATAGCAATATTTCTCAACAGAGTAGCAGCAGTAAGGAATAATCAAAGCTTTGTTTGGTAACAGAGATAAATTTTTACAATATATGAAAAATAAAAGTAAGCATGTGCTGAAAACATTTTAGAAATGAAATGGAAAAATGTACTTAAAATGATTTAGAAATAAAAACTTCATTAGGAAAATCTATATTAATTCAAACTAGTTTTGAGTAACTGTGGCTGTCAGTATAAAATTTTTGCCAACTTTGTCAAAAACCGATCTTGTTGACTTGATATTTTATTTTATCCATCGTGTAACTAACCACTTACTAAAAAGCAGATTCAACAACATCTTCTGTGCTCCAAGGTCTAAATAGCAGTGACCAGGTCTCCATCTATTATCAGTTCCTGATTGGAACAGAACAAATAGCTGTTAGAGGTTATCACGGATGCATTCTTTACTTTTACTAAACTGTTTCAAGCTTGGCAATTTGAGCCACTGTGGCCAATGAGCTGTCTTCTCCTGAATTGCCCAGCAGTATTTCTGGTGTCATTGTAGAGCAATTTCCTTAAGATTTTTAGGTTTCAGGAATCTAACTGGACCTTTTACTCTTTTTTAAAAGTCCCTGACAGGTGCTAAGTGTTCTTGATTAGTGTGAGTCTTTGGAAAGAATAACAGTGCCACGAAACAAGTTGATGGTTGTATTTAACAGTCTGTTTTGCTTCCCTTGCTTCTGTTTCTTTGGCTTTATTAGAAATACCTTTTAATTCATGCTGAATGTTGATAAATGTTTGCTTTGCATGTCCAATGAAATAGTGCCTTATTGGAAGCAATTTATTCTGGAATAACTTTGAGAGGCAGTTCAAGGTTAAAAATGTTAATTTCAAAGGAAAAAGGAATTCGATTATGGACAAGACTTTTATATTCCCACCCTGGTATCACTTTTGCATGTGGCAGATTTTAAATGAACTGACTACAGGTAATAAGTTACCTGAGGCAAAATAAAAACATAAAGAATGAGGGGAAGGAGCAGCTATTGCTGCTGCAGGTCACAAACTACTTTTCTGAGTTTGGGAAAGATACCTTAATTTTAGGTTCAGCTCTTCGATTTGTCTAAACTGTTATATAGTGAAATAAATTAGTGATTTCTTGCTTCTATGGAGCCCAGAATTATATTTTTTCAACAAAATCTCACACAGATCACAAATCAGGTATTAATCAGAAGTGAGGTCCCTTTGAAAGAGAGAGAAGAAACGCTAAATCCTACTTGATTACCTTTTCTCTGTAGTTCTACAACTTTTTTTAATTAGCCCATGTTTGCAATACAGAGTGTTTTTATTCTTTGTATGGTGTTGGGCCATGTTTATCTTTTATAGTATGAGAACAGGTTAGTTTAAATGAAAGATAATTCAGCTCAAAGAAAAATCACCATCACCCAAAGATGGATAAGCGGATTTTATATCCTCTTTTGACAGAGTATTTTCATGTTTGGGGTTGCTAATAGGCTCACTGAATTATTATTTTAGAAGATGACTATGATTTAAAAAGAATGTTAAGTAAAAAAGAAAGAAAGAAAGAAAGAAAGAAAGAAAGAAAGAAAGAAAAGAAGAGAGAAAATAATTGACTTGGAGGATAGCCTGAGAGAAAAATTTTACCTCTCAAATTTTATGGGCAATTTTCTAACAGTATTAAACTTTGATTCAGTTGTTTTGGGAGCTTAGGGAGTAGAGAAGCACGTTGTTTGAGCATCTATACTTTAGTGAATGTTGTGCTGAGTGAAGCATCAATTGACATTATTGGGAAGACTAAAAATTTAAGGAGGATTCCTCTGGACGAACATCCTTCACCCTCTTTAGAAGCTTAAGAAAACATCTTGACTGGTGTGGGGCAAAGGTTATTCTCTGGAAGTGTAAAGCAGTGATCCTGCAAGTTCAAGGGTAGGCAAAGGTGCATCTCTAGGCAGGAGGAAAACTTCACTCTTCTGGAAGCCATTTTTCTCCCAGTCTTCTCTTTGACCCTGATGTAGGTAACTTTTCCTGTAGAAAAGGGAAACAACTAACACGGTAGTATGGTTTATATATGCATGTCCTCCCAAATCCTTGTGTGCTTAGAGGCAGGGTGTGTGGAGGGTGATTGGATTATGGAGGCATCACAGCTGGCTTGGTATGGGGTGCAGGGCTGGTCGGAAGGAGCGGTCACTGAGGGCATAACCCAGAGGGGTGCGTCTTCCTTTCCAGATCTTCCCTTCACTGCCTGCGTCCTGGTTGCTATGATGTGGGCATCTCTTCCTAGCACTCTTCCCCATACTCTCTGCCTTGAGCCAGCTGCCCATGGACTGAAACCTCTGAAGGCATGAACCAAAATACCTGTCCTCTTTTAAATTGCAGATTTCAGATATTATATCTCAGTGAGCAGAGGGTTAGAGGGACGTACAGAAAAGAGTAACAAGTCCGTCACTCCTTGAAAGTGAAATGTCCCATTTCTCCACAGCCTCTCCGGCATTTGTTATTGGTTGATTTCTTTATGCTAGCCATTCTTACAGGGGGAGGTGGAATCTCAGTGTTGTTTTAGTTTGCATTTCACGAATGATTAATGATGAACATTTTCTCATGTATTTATTTGCCATTTGTATTTCTTTATCTGAGAAGTGTGTATTTATCTCAGCTGCCCATTTTTGGATTGGGTCTTTGAATTTGGGGGCCTGATATTTTTTAATTCTTTATATGTTCTAGATAGAAGCCCTTTGTCTGAGGGACAATCAGCTAAAATTTTTTCCAAGTTTGTGGGTTTTCTTTTTACTCTGCTTGTGGTTTCTTTAGCTGTGCAGAAACTTTTCAGTAAGATGAGATCCCAGTTGTTGATTCTTTCAAGTGTTTCACATGCAGTTTGGTTTTTGTTCATGAACTCTCTGCCTACCCCTATGTCTTCAGGGTTTTTACCTACTTTCTTTTCCAATAGATTTAGTGATTCTGTTTTAATATGGAGATCTGTGATCCATTTTGACTTGAGTTTGGTGCATGGTGATAGATTTGGGTCTATTTTCAGTCTTTGGCAGGTAGCAAGCCAATTTTTCCAGTACCATTTATTAAAGAGGCTGTTGTTCTTCCAGTGAGCTTGATTGGCCCCTGTATCAAAGATTAGGTGGCTGAGTGTGTTTGTGGTTGTGGCTGTTTCTTCTAGTCTGTTCCATTGATCCTCAGGTCTGCTTTTTAGCATGTACCAGGTTGATTTTATTGCAGTAGCTTTGTGAATGCAGACTGGTGAAACCACTGTGGAAATCAGTTTGGAGATTCCTCAGAAAACTAGGTCTAGAGATCCCATTCAACCCAGCTATTCCCTTTCTGGGTATTTTCCCATAAGATCTAAAAACATCATATCACAGCAATATATGTGCACCTCTGTTCTTAGCACTGCAATTTGTAATTTCTAAATTGTGGAAGCAACCCAAATGTCCATCCACTGAAGATTGGATAAAAAAATTATGGTACTTTTATATAATGAAATACTACTCCACTATAAAGAGAGATAAACTTGAGGTCTTTATAGGTAAATGGTCACAACTAGAGACTATACTCATAAGGGAAATAAATCAGACCTGCATGTGCAAGCCCTGCATTGTCTCACTAGTGTAAAACCTGAAAGAGTGAATAAAAACTAGGAGGTGTGATAGACATTGTGAAATGAAAGGAAAATGCTCAAGGGTAAAGGTCAACTGTGATGTGGAAAAAGAGAAGGGAAAGAAGGAGAAATTTTTTATATATGTATGTACAGGATAGTTAACATAGTTGAACTACTGTCTTCTATTTCTTTGCTGAAAGAAACAGTTAATGATTCCTTGATTGATCAATACTGCATGTCTCTATTTGTTTTCTGAGAAACCACTTTGAAGATATCAATATGTAATACAACAAGCATTGTTAATTTCCCACCACTTTGTTTGTAATTCTGTATTGTTTGTATTGTTCTTTTGCTATTTTGTAAATGGTTATCTGTTTGTTAATGTTTTCCTTCTTTTATTTTTAAAATTAAAAAAAGTGAATATCCTGATTTAACTTTCAAGGAAGCACACTTGTATTCTGATGAAAATAACCACTTCAAACTATTCACAGACATTTCTCCACTTTTGTCAGATATTCTCCAAAACACCTAACCTAAAGTGTGTGTGTTTTCTTTCTTTCTTTCTTTTTTTACTATTCTGACTTCTATTTTCTGGGTTTTCAATCAAAGAACATATCATGTTTTTAGTATATATTTTTAACATGTATTCAATATTATTCACTCATTACTGCACTCTAGTTCACAGTGGTACTCAAGTTTTTGAGTGAATGAATAAATTAGTGAATAATAACAAGAATACAAAAGAAGAGCTGCAGAGCTATAGAAACTGTAAAAGAGCCTGAAGAGCACAGGAATCAGTGGACAGATGGAATGACCAGTAGAGATCAAAGGCTAATATTTTCTCCATTTACCTACTTTCAAATTGGTGACCTCATTGAATTTAAGCCTTCTTTCAGAGCAGGAATTTTTCCATGTCAACTTATTTCAAGAGACCTAAAAGTTCATGTCTTGTAATTAACTTTCACTTTTGTGACTCATAAATTTGAGACACAGGATGGGTTAGAAAGACAGAAGAATTTTTTTAAACTTTCATGAATTAAGCTAGATGACTCCTACATTTACACTGCAGTTAGAGGTGTTTCTACTTAGTACAGACACTGGCTTTCATAATTTCTTGCCATTTTACAAAGATAAGTACAAAGAAACATTTGCAAAATCATGACTGAAGGGA